TTTAAAAGGAAGGTGAAGGTCAAACTTCAAAAGTAAAATTGTAGGCTAGCTTCACTCCCACTCCTACAGCATTCATTAGACCTAGATGCTCCGTGCTTTAGTACTGAAGCAATGTCATGTTCAAACATGCATTTCAGCAAATATTACGGAATGTTATTCTCTACCCTTGTGTTCAGAAAGACCTTGAAGGTAATCTAAATATATCTTGCACAACATCAAGTCTTTAAATAGTGTTTCCTCTGTTACTGTAGTCCCTGATGGAGTTTAGGCTATGCTATTCCAAAATATGGTAACTTGGTATTTGATGAAACAGCTCAGGTATGTGGGTCATGCTCTGACCTTATTTACCCCTCAAGCAGACCATGAAAGAGTTTTCTGATCTTTCTCTGATATGGATCATAAGACCGTCAAGTGAGAGTTTCCAAACCTATACCCCAAGGAAAGGAATGTCCTTATCTCTGAAGATATAGGAACACAAAGAAGAATTTGAACAAACAGGCCTTGCTAAGTTCCCCTTCATTTATTACTATTAATCATATTCCCTTTTGTCTAATCATACTTTTCCACAACTATTCACTTTGTGAAAATTAGCAGAAAAATACATAGATTTCTCTGGGAGTGTTTTTGTATCTTTATTTTTGAAAGTTCTTGTGTCATGTAAAATTAAAAATAAATATGTTTGTATATTTTTCCTCTTGTTTATCTGTCTTTTATTATAGGTGCCTTAGCCACAATCCTAGCAAATAAGTGAGCAAAAAGATCTTTCTTCTCTTATATCTCCACAAAACACAGTTGTTCTCTACTTTACCCCCTCAAACTTCATATATGTAATTCATCTTTATTTCTAGCTAGCCCTCTTTTTCCCCTTCATTTCCTCTCCTGTTTCTCAATATCTCATTATATAATAGATTTAGTCTACATGAAATAAACCTTTTTAGCAGGGTTCGTAGCATAAAGAAAGTGGGACTTAATATGAAAAGGTCATCTTTGATGTGATAGGCTTCTTGATCACATTATTCTGTTCATAATGGTAGCATAAGTGTTCAAAATATTAATAATAATCCTTGAGGTGACATGAAGTAGGAATTTCATATATTCTCTTATTCAAAATGTGTTAAAGTGCTTTACATGTTTCACCTTATATAATCCCCTCAATAGCAAGGTAGGACTATCACAATTCACATTTTGATGAAGAAACAAAGGCAAAAGAGCATCCAAAGTAGCTGGTGGGACCAGGATTTGATCTCAGGGAAACCAACTCCCGCATCACGCTCTTAACCAGTGTTCAAACAGCACCCTAATAACCATATAACAGAAATTCTGCTTTTGATGTTGGTTGGACTATGATCTCTGTGTTACTTTCCAACTCTAGTGACTCCATAGAAATTTTTCAAGAAACTCTTGGAAGAAAATATTGCTAAAAACTTGAAAGGAAGAAGAAAACCTCTAGAGGAAACAGTACAAAAATTGTCTGATTAATAAATCAATAAATATTTAAAAATTAATCTAAAAAATACAAACAAAGTTGGCTAAAAATCTCTTCTTGGAAAATTAAGATATGAGTCTGGTTCAAGTCATGATGAGAGTTCAAAGAAAACTAGCAATCTATACTCAAGTCATGGAGAAATAAAAAAGAAAGCAAAAAGTTTTAAATAATATTTCTGAATAAAGTGAGACTCTGGCTTAAAAAATAATATTTCTGCAATAAGCCATAAATAAAAGGGAATAGGAGCTTGAGAAAAGATACTTTTTATAACCCAGTCTTTTGGGAGCTAAGGCAATTTTCTCCCTATTTCCAAACCTGTGGAGATCAAGCTCTAAGAGTTAGGTCAGATTATAAATACATTTTGATGATTTCTGAATAGAAGTTTAACACACAGGGCCAAAGACATGTCATCCTGTTTAATTAGGAAAATCTGGGAGAAATTTTAGTGTTGGAATATTTCCCCTTAGTAGCTCATATGGAGTTATTCTAGCCCAAACAATCCAAATTACTCTAGAATAGGTCCAAATATAGAAAGAAGTTAAGGGAAAAGTCCACTGTTCCTTTCCTAAATAGCTTCACATTAATCTGAGCCAAATTTTGATATTAGGAGAAAAGTGACCATATCTGAAAGTGAGCTATGGCAAACAGGGCCTTGTTTATAAAAGAGCAGAGCTTTGGCTTCTCTGATAGCTACGATTCATGATGAAAAACTACGCAACGGAGACAGACCAAAACTCAAACAAAAAACTCCCAAGAACATATTGTGATAAATGATACATGACAAAATTACATTTAAACAGTTACTAGACCCAAAGGATTCCAGCTGCGAATAAGTGCAAACAATGTGGGGTTTCTGCTCCTAATTCCTTTGACAAAAATGACAAAATACGGTTCTTTCATATAATGACAGGGGGAAATAGAAAGCCTGAGAACATAAAATATTATATTGTTGTTTAGAAAGAGAGACGGTGTTCACACATATTATATTTCAGATTGGCAGCCTTATTTGAAAAGGATCTCTGGAACTTAGTTTTAAAGGATGGAGAAGGGTAAGGATAGCAGAAAGAGAGGAGAGACACACAGTTTCACCTCGACATTTTTGACACACAAGACTATCTAAAAGCTAATTTGAAATTCAGTTAGCACATCCAGGGAAAACCATGCAAGCAAATATATTTCTAAGCAGGATGCCAAAAGAATGTTGTTAGCACATTTGTAAATTTCCAATTCTTTCCTACTACCCTTATCCAACAACCCAAACAAATCAGTTTAAATACAACTTCTTTTTCTAATGTCTTTTGAAGCATCACTGCCGACAGATTGAGTCAAGTAACCATCTGCTGCAAATACAAATAGAGCTACATTCAAGAATTATATTATACAGCCTTCCTAGCAAAGTTCTTACGTGCAAGCTGTTCTTGTCAAAATCAGAACCATTGTGATGATGCATCTTAATATTCAATCAGACTTTAAGAGTGACAAAAGTCCACATATGGATGACAGCTGTTTCTTCAGTAAATATTTTCCCATTTATTGAATGGAGGCTTATGGCAGTTTAGGATATGCTACATCAGAAATTTCAGCCTGAACTGCCTCGAGAACAATGAAAACAGTAACAAGGATAACATTTCAGTTTTCAAATCTTTGCTACAATTTATATCTTAAAAAGTAATAGCTCCTCCAATTAAAGTAGTACATTATGCCATTAATTTAAGAGTATCCTTACCTAACACTGACTGATGAAAGAACTAAATTTATAGGATATAATGCTACCATGTTTGTACAATATAAGACTATAATTACTGTATTGATTTTCTAATCATACAAGGAAAGTTGATGGGAATTTAAACAGTTAATGATTATATTTTGATAAACTGTGAAACACTAAAAGATTGATGAACTATTAGCTAAAAGAAGGTCAGATAAGATCTCTATTTAACCAATAAGGTGGTTTGCAAAATTGGAAAATTAAAAAAAAAAAATATGAAGATAAATGCTGATGAGAAATTCACTAACTTCATAATAATACTGGGTTTAAATATTGATACTTACTGGAATGAAAAACTAGAGTATGAACTAACAAAGATATCTTTAAACATTTTACTAGTACCTTGGAACATATATCAAGCCCCCTTGATAAAAGCATGTTAAGAGTATATCTTTTAAGTAGCATTTTAAAGTTTGCCAGCTATAATTACCACTGGCAGGTATCGTTGTATAATTGAGAAAATGGCCTGAAAAAAGGGTAAAAATGTTTTCCAATTCTTCAAAAATTCCTTACCCTTTCTGAGAACTAAAACCTACGTTGCTGCCGGAAGCTGGTGGTCAGGAGGCGTAGAGAAGTGCCCTTTGTTCTTTGTGCCACAGGAGATGGATGAATCCAGGTGGAAGTCAGAAGGTCACAGATAGTTGTAGCCCAGAATAGGAGGGATTAATCAAAACCATACCTTTTAAAAGCTCTGTATATCTGCTCAGAAGCATGCTGCTGGTACTTTGAGATGGGAGTCTAACAGCCTCCTCATTTGCTGGAAAATTAATAAACTTCTCCTTCCTCCTCATTAAACCACTTACACTCATTCTTCTGATGCAGACTCAGGTGCAAGTGCTGAGGTTTTGGTAATAGTTAGGACTCAAATACCATTACCACAAAATATAGCATTTTGCTATGCTATACTGACCGGAGAAGCCTCAAAGGCTCTCTGACCCTCCCATCCCCACCACTGGCTCTCCCAAGAAGTTCATTTCTTTATCTACCCAAGATGCAGACTTAGCTAGGAAAACTTTTGTTTTCTTTCCCTCCTATAATGCTAGGAATAGACACTTTACCAAAATAATGTCTTGTCTCTCATAATCATTCTAAAAAAAATATTTACCAGTTAATCTTTGTTTCCCATCCATTCATCCTTCCTACTAATCATTTATTTGCCATTATGGAATTCCTCTTTTCTTCCCTCTCATAATCCATTTTATCAGAAAGTTATATAAACTTTTAGACTTTGGTGGGAGTTGAGTTTTCATTCTGAAGGCTGCCACTTATAAATATTTACATACAAATGTAATTTTATATATAAACATTTTATATGTAATATTTATATACATGTAAAATAAATTCATATCTTTTATCTCATTAATCAATATGCCTTATGTCAGTGATTTTTCAGTGAAGTTTAGGTGGGTAAGAGCCATGTTCCCCACAGAATTAGAAAGTCTCTTCTCTTTTCATGTAAAATGGTCTTTATGCCCTTCTCTGTTGACCATGAAGCAATCCTTGGGAAAACAAAGGATTATTTTTGGCTCAGGCTGAGGCCTATAATATTAATATGTAAGAAACACTGTTCCCCACTTTTGTATGGTAAGTTATAGCTGTTTTTTCCCTATAAAAAAGGGAAAAATCAACAGACATTATTTTAAAAAGTTTGGAGTCTGAAGTTTTACTTTCCACAGCTCCTGTCAGACTCTGACTTTTTAAATGCAAACTTTTTCAGACCAAACATTATAAAAAAGAATTTCTTACCCTGCTATTGGATCTACCGCTATCGCCTTAGGATTATGAAGCTCCAGATCAATCAGGGTGACACATATAGACCCGTTGTAATTACAAACAAAGATCCGATCACTGACATGGTCCACAAAATAGAGATTTCTGGTGAGCCAGTCAATCGCCATTTGTTGCACATCTGAAAAATACATACACAGAATCATTGAATCATAGGCGCAGACCTAGAATCCTAAGTGAAAGAATATATGAATCTGTCCAAACCATCACAGAGGACATTTCAAAAGTTTAGGCGTTTTCATGTAACAAGCTTCAAAAGAAAATCTTTGCCAAAACAAGTGATTTGATTATTACATAAAATAATGACTACCTCTCGGTATTTTTCTCCTTGCTATCTAAAGACTGAGGATAAGAAATGAAGGAACAGTTTCTAAATCTTAAAATATAGGCATTTACAGTCTAATTGTTCTCTTACTCTGCATTTGTCTAGAATAGTTCATGCAACCCAATGGACATAACTAATGCAATGGAACAGCTAAAAATCTATCTTAGTAATGAGAGGAATAAATACTTTGTGTGAACTTAAAGCAAACTCTTGTTTCCAAATTCTCTCTTGTTAAAAAAAAAAAAAAAAGGAAGAAGTGGAGAAGGTAGAAAAAGAAATTTGTTAGATTCATTTGTTTAAAAAAGTACATAAAACTGGGAAGTAAAGCAAAAGGGATTTACTGACAGCTTTTTTTTAATGGCATACTTGAACATTTTAAAAAGAGAGCTGTTCAATGAGTGATTAATATACTAGTAGAGTGCTGCCCAATAGCAC